CTTCTCTCTTTTTTACGGGATTCTATTTTGTGCAGTAAATATGGGCCTTTGGGGGAGTAAAGAGGGGGAAAGGGGGAGGGGCAGGTATTTGAAGTAATTTTCCAGCTTAATGTTTGTCCAGTGTGGGGCCTCCAGACGCCTCCAGTGGCAGATACGTTTCACAAAAACTTCAAACCAAGATGCTGGAAACAGAGTCTTTGAGGCGTATCCTGAGCAAGAAACTTTCGATTTAGCTAAAAAGCAAGGGAATTCACTGGCGAGTTTATTTTGTTACCCCAGAATTAAAAAGTTCTACCTGCTCAGCACCTTGTTTCGAGAAATTAATTTGAAGTTAAAAATTATGAATTTTCAACACGATCAAGTTTTTTTTTCCAAATGCAATTCTTTAAATATCTTGATAACGACTCCGAATATTCTTACGATTTTCATAGAGCATATAGAACATTTTGGTTTCTGACCTCATGGTCTTAGTAACTCAAAATGACCCCAAAAAACGCCAGTTAGAACTTTGTAATTCTAAGGGAGGAATTTGTATGAGTTCTTATTTATCTTTTTAAAAAGTTTGTTTGTGTAGCAGCATGTCTTATTCATTTGGCTGAGCACACACCGTTGCAAAACATAAAGTCTATAAAGGCAAAGTTGAAATTGTCTGAGACGGCCATTCATCGTCGAGGAGAAAAGTGGCCATATTAGACAAGTAAAAGTCGTAGAGAGTGTCATTATAATTTTTAAATCGCAAGGGAAAGGGGGGAGGGGGTGTGGCCGGCTGTTAAAACGTGTATTTGTTTTATACAGGTGGCCGTAAAAGCATTAGGTTTGACTGTATTTTTGTTCTGTGACAATAATCTTTTCGCCTGCCGTGAGCAGTGCTTTGTTTGGTGGGTCTGGAAATAGAAGGATCACTCACCTGTGGAACTGTTCTTCTAATTGAAGGATTCACTCACCTGTGGTACTGTTCTTTTAATAGAAAAATTTACTCACCCGTGGCACTGTTCTGCCTATAGAAATAGAGGGATTCACTCACCTGTAGTACTGTTCTATTATTAGAAGGATTCTCTCACCTGTGATACTGTTCTGCCAGCAGGGGCCACGACAGGGACCGGAGCACAGTGGCATTGGGCAGGACTTGGTGGTGGCTCTGAGGGGGGGGGATGTAATGTAATTTAGGTTGGGGTTTTTTTTTGCTCCTATCAACACTATTCAGATCATTTAGGAAGCGGGCCTAGAACTTGTCTGTCAAGGGCAATCCAGGCTAAGAGGGAGACAATGTCTTAGCACATAGCAGAATGATCGAAATACTAGATAAAATATTCTCATTACACGGGAACGGAACTCAGGTCTACTTCGTGCAATGGCGAAGCGCCTAATCGCTACACCACAGACGCTAGTATTCTGGGGAAAGAGAAGCAAAACTAGTCAGATACAACCGGAGATGGATGGGGAAAAACAGGGAGTGAGGTGCATGAATCTAAAGGCAGATTATGGTTCCTTAGAAGAGATGTTCATAATGAAATTATAGAATGGATGCCCGTTGATCAAATTCGGATCGGACCAAGGTTGGGAAATGGTGTCCGGCAGTGCACACTAAATCAAGTAGACAGACCTCGCAACGTCACGTGACACACAGTAGCCTTCTATTTGTTGCTGACCACACGTTTGTGAAATTTGGGGGATTGAATCAAACTCTTCCAAAATGGCGGCTTCTGCCCTCCCACCCAAAAAAGAAAAATCTGACTGCCGTCAAAATTATCAGACTATAGCAAATACGGATTTGACGAAACTTTCTGCAGTAGACAATGGCTGTTTTATTGCATTAGACAATGGGTAGACGCTTTTGTTACGCCAAAACAAGTTATCATTTCAGTTGTAGACACGGGCGCTCCGTTATCTCAGTTGCTGGACTGAAGAGCGGATGGCTCTGGTTCGAATCCCAGACTGGGTTTTCTTGAACTTGGGTCGTTTCGTAGAGTTTTTCAAAGCTCTCAATCCTTTTGGCTCGGTCCTTTCACAGACAGACGTTAAATTCGGAGGCATCGCATCGTAAATAACTTAATATTCTTGATAGGGATGTTGAACTCGTACACTTAATTGTTTTACTCTTCTATGCACATAATCTGGTCCTGTATAGTATTCCACTCCTGTTACTGCCGTCATGAAGAGAGGTCTTTACTCCACCCTTCCTGACCCCCTTCCTCCCCAGATCTATATAAGGTCTGTTGATCAAAACTCTTGCTGGTTATCTATTACAGCTGAACCTTTTCCAAACAAGAAGTGATTAAAAATATAATCAAGCTAACCTGGTTTCCGGGCGAGACCAGCCTGTAAATAACACGGCTCGGTTGCAACCTTTGACCTTTGTAGCGTAAAGAGGTTGAGTCAAAGATTGCCTGGTAAGAGAGCAGCAGAGTGAGTACGCATGCGCCGACACATCCTGTCTTGATCATCAGACGGGGAAGTCGACGCTGAATCATGACACTGAGACAATGGAAGAGAAAGAAACGATGGAAAAAAATCTGGTTTTGGGCTGGGGTCAATGCAAAAACACGCACACCATTGACCACCCTTCAGAAAGTGTGTAACCGACATTGTTTGTACTTGAGAACTTGATCTTCTTCCTACTGGACCAAGGGAGTCACTAGACAGTGGAAAGGATAGGAATTGGAGATTAAAGCCTCAATGAACATAACACAGTCTAGAACTCTCATAGCGAAAGACGCACATAACGAACAGGTTTTCAGGTCCCAAAATTGTTCTCATATATGTATATTCTTTATATTTAAACCATCTACATAGCAAAACCACACACAGCGTCAAATTGACTTTGACTGTGTTAACATACGATGAAACTCATGAATGTTGTACTTACCCAAACATTGGGTGCTCTCAGACCTCTTTGCCACAGCGACCTGGCGTGTCCGGTATGAACTCTGCCGCCCTTTACCTTTGGTTGATTTGTGTTTCCCTTGACCCCTGACCCAGGCACATCGCTAGATTAAATGTCCTCTTCCCAATGATGCCTCGTCAATTTATCTGCAGATAATTGGTAAAGTGCATATTACTAGCTGTACACTGTGTCGAGGGGAGAGGGTGCAGGCAGAGAGAGAGAGAGAGAGAGAGAGAGAGAGAGAGAGAGAGAGAC